TTGGTTTCTTCCCCCTTTCCGGGGGGTGGGGTTTTTCCCCCCCCCCCCCCTTTTTTTTTTTTCCCCCCTTTTTTTTTTCCCCCAAAAAAAAAAACCCGGGTTAAAAAAAAAAAAAACCGTTACCTTGTTTCCGGTTTTCCCAATTTAATTTGCTTTTTTTTCCAACTTTTTTCCCAAGGGACAAAACCCCTTTCCCTTTGCCAACCCCCGAGGGGGGGGTTTTTTTTACAATTTTTTTCCCAAGCGACAAAACCCCACCCCCTTTGTTAACCCCCGGGGGGGGCGCTTTTTTTTACAACTTTTTTCCCAAGCGACAAAACCCCAACCCCCGTTGCCAACCAAGCCCTTGGGGGGGGGGGGGGGAAGAAGAAGCAGAAACCTGAAACCGCTGTGGGAGTGGCCAGGACGGCAGAGGCCGCGCTTGTGGCGCAACATGTCCCCGATTGATGTTGTTTTTATTTATTTTCTGTGTTTGCTTTTTGCTTTTATTCGCTCTTCCTTTCTGCGGTCTGGCCCTTCCCCTTGCCTTTGCCTTTTTCCATTTCCTTTTTGCCCTCTTGGCCTTGGGCCTTGTGCCCTTCTGGCCTGTCTGCCCGTGTCGGCCGTTCGGCCGTTTCCGCTTCTCGTGCTTCGCCTTTAGGCTTTTTTACCCCCGCGGCCCCTGCGCCCATTTGCGGACAGGCATACACCCCCACCTGCCTGGTCCTGGTCTTGGTCTTTGATGGTACGCTTGGCCTATGGCACGCTTTTACCTAATTTATATTTTTTGTCTTTGGCCTTGTGTGGCTCATTTTGTTTCTCTCCCCCACCCTGCACTGCACCCTGGAATCACATTCAGGAGTGCGGTGCGGAGTGGGGGGGTGCCTGGTCGGCGAGAACCCGACACGGAACCCTCCGGCATTGTAGGCGGGTGTGGGAAGCCTTCGACTTACCGTAGTTCTCTTTCCCTTACCTGGCATGATACCTGGTTTTTTCTTACGTTTTTTATTTGTTTTCCGAGTGGTATGTACCCTACTTTTTTGTTTAGTTTCTTTGCGGCGACGAGTGTGCCCAGTTTTGTGACCACGGGCTCCCATGGATGTGTTTGGAATATAGAGCTAATGAGAGAAAAAAAAAAAGCACATACGCGCACACCTCTCGGTCCGTGGTCTCTTCCATCGGGGGTAGAAACGTCTCCTGCAACTGGCGTATCCTTTTCTTGAGCTTCTTGCTTGTCTTGGTCCCCGTCTCTACCCGAGAGGTTTATAGTCAGATTTAGACGAGGGGTTGGGGGGGAGGCACGGTGAAATGAAGTGAGAGAGGGAAGGGTGCCTCGGTCTTCTACTCGCCGTCAATTTTGACACGTCACATGGTTTGTTTGGGCCCGGCTCAACAGGAATAACAAACATTATTTCCAAACCAAAATCGAGCTCTAATTGGTGAGCTGGCGTTAAAAGCGCCTGTCCTGGGTTTCCGGCAGACGGACAAACATATTTGCTGACCCCGGCAAAAGTCTCGGCGGACAAATTGTTGTAAAAAAAAAATCTGTTTCAAAAACTGGACATATACGTTTTCCCTCCGGCTACAGAACTAAAACAGATTTTTTCCATTTTGGAAAGCATACACTTCAGAGTATATATTTTCCCGCTAAATAAGCCGGACCCATACAGTATCAGTTCTGTTGAACAGTGAAGAGCGACATCCAGGCATGGTTTCGTACGGCATAGGAAACCGTACCGCATACCACACCGTACCGATGTCGTCCACCGATCCTGGCCCTCTGCCCGACGATTCTGCCCGTCGCTGCGCAATGACGTGAGACCTGATTGCGAGTCGGGTCATCAAAGGCGGATGCCGCGCTAATGTTTGGTTGAGTTGAAGTCCTCACTGCGGAGTGGCTGTGATAGATCAAGTTCAGCACTTCGTACATTCATTTCAACCAAGGTTCGTGAGCATGGCCCGGTTGCATGTCCATCTCGTGGTCAGTTTCCTCGCTTGCAGTTTTCTCGACCATCGACCATTGGGAGGTGCACGAAGAGAATCCGTTTCAATCTAGGCGACCTGGTCTACATTTCACACCCTCTCCCGCTGTGGGTACAACAATGCGGGGAAAACAGCAAGGACGGGAAGGTCTAATTATGCTCTGGCAAAACAAGACGAAGAACGACGAATGGTAGTGGTAGAGGCCGCTAACGAGATACCGGAGACGCGACTCACAAGTAGCGGGTGGTGACGATCCACAGTGGAACGGCGTTGAAAGAGACGATCAGCATGCCCGGGTAGAGCACCAGCAGCGCCAGGGAAATAAGACAGAAGAGACTGCCAAAACAAAGCAAACGAGGTGCAAAGGTTGCAGGTGGGCGGGGCGGGGGGATCAAACGATTCATAAAGTCCGCTCATCGTTGCTTGTCCGGGCATGAAAAAAACATCAAGTACGATATCCGGGATTCAAAATAGATATGGCTACAACACTCCGTAAATCGCTCTCCATGCCATCGGCCAGAATTGACTGGTGTTTTTTTCTTACACACGAGAGAGGGCCGGAGCACTTGGAACTCCACCGACCCGTCCCTAAATCAAAATCCTAAGCGAGCGTGAAAAGAACACGAACGGGCACCTGAAATGTTTTGTCTTGCCCGACTCCCTCCATCTGTCCATGGTACCCGCGCGCACCAAATGATCCCCATCAATCAGTTAGAGGGATTCTCTCACCTTGTCCAGGGATGGACCCAGCCCACAACGCGTCCTACACCGTCCAAAAATTCCAAGTAGGGTAGCAGCAGCTGCTGCAGGAGCAGCACGTTGTAGTAGATCCGGTTAGGAGAAAACTCCTTTGGGAGGAAGGGAGGGAGAGAGGGAGGGAGGGAGGGAGGGTAGGGCACGGAGCGGTAGAGAGGGCACCAAACGGGCGGGTGTTGTAATTTCAACGTCGGAAGCTCTGGAGCAGCAGCAGCAGCAGCACATCACAACGTCATTGTGATACACTATCTAGAACAATCTGATTGTGGATCGGCAATCAGTCCATCGGCCTCTGATTGTGTTGTGCTTTATGTTTACTGACGTGTTGCTCACGTCTTAAACTCGATGGAGATTGTGCTGAACACCATCCAACCGCCTGAGTCATGTGCTGCCTTGAAGCTTTCAAAGAGCTCCAATACCATCAGCTTGTGTGCCCCAGTGAGTCTTGTGCTTTCAAATTATCGCGGCGGACCAGCAACCCCTTCCCCTCGTTTTACCGGTCTGAATCGTGTTGACAGTTGTAGAATAAAGGGAAATGGACACAAGTGGGTACACCCACGCCATTCTCGGACAAAAGCGGGTACTCGAAAATCCATCGCGCGCGCACTCCATAGGCGACCCCTAAACGACTCAAAACCCCATTCTGACACCTGGGCGACACAGCCAGGGACCATACACAGCACGGGCATCCATTTTTTCCCACTTTTAGGCACACCTTTGGCCCTAATACCGCCGACGCGCGCAAGGCCTCACCAGAGTGCCTACTTATGTCCGACATCGCGGTGGGTATACCCACCGGCGTCAACAAATTTTTTCATGTACCCACTTGTGTCTGTATTTTGACCCACTTTTGTCCAAATTGTACCCACTTTTGTCCACGTACGGACGGCGGAAATCGAGCGGAAATCGACCTCCACGTCACCGCACGGCAGAACATCGAATAGCCTCGGAAAGTCTCAGAACCTCCCAACACCGTATCCATGGCATCTTTCCTATCCATGATTGCCGACTGCGGACCGACCACGGAGGAACATGTCAGAAACATGCCAGACCCCTTCGGTACCGGCACGGGAAGATACCAGGCACGGGAAGATGCCCGCGGCAAGCCCGGCAAGCAGCGCACTATCGGCACGCCACAAATAAATGCGTGACACACAACGGACAACACAACCAACCGGTCGCGTATACAGAACAAAAAGACGCACAAACAGCAACAACACACACACAAAAATACCAACCACCACGACGAGTGCACACCGACTCGTCACGGCAGCAGTAGCATGTCGAGGCCCTGCACCGTTGGTTGTGTTGTCCGTTGTGTGTCACGCATTTATTTGTGGCGTGCCGATAGTGCGCTGCTTGCCGGGCTTGCCGCGGGCATCTTCCCGTGCCTGGTATCTTCCCGTGCCGGTACCGAAGGGGTCTGGCATGTTTCTGACATGTTCCTCCGTGGTCGGTCCGCAGTCGGCAATCATGGATAGGAAAGATGCCATGGATACGGTGTTGGGAGGTTCTGAGACTTTCCGAGGCTATTCGATGTTCTGCCGTGCGGTGACGTGGAGGTCGATTTCCGCTCGATTTCCGCCGTCCGTACGTGGACAAAAGTGGGTACAATTTGGACAAAAGTGGGTCAAAATACAGACACAAGTGGGTACATGAAAAAATTTGTTGACGCCGGTGGGTATACCCACCGCGATGTCGGACATAAGTGGGCACTCTGGTGAGGCCTTGCGCGCGTCGGCGGTATTAGGGCCAAAGGTGTGCCTAAAAGTGGGAAAAAATGGATGCCCGTGCTGTGTATGGTCCCTGGCTGTGTCGCCCAGGTGTCAGAATGGGGTTTTGAGTCGTTTAGGGGTCGCCTATGGAGTGCGCGCGCGCTGGATTTTCGAGTACCCGCTTTTGTCCGAGAATGGCGTGGGTATACCCACTTGTGTCCATTTCCCTAGAATAAATTCATCCGGCGAACTCAACATGGCCGCGTAAGTGCTTGCCTCTTGAACTTGAGCCAAACATGCCCGACGATCAGAAAAGAAACCTGTGAGCCTGCTTATAGGACAAAATAAAGGGCCCAAGAGTACCAAAGAACTGACCTATCTTGATGTCTCGTGCGGCGAGTGAAACCGTGATCGGACACTCTGCGGTGAAAAGTAACATCCGATGTGATCGCGGCTAAAACGCTCGCGTGTGCTATTTCAACTTCGAAACCTTGCCTTGAGGGGCCTTTTCGGGGGCTCTTCCGGCCAAATATAGCTGCACGTCTCCGCCAGCTCGTTGAACTCGAAGCGCAGCTGCAGGCGCACCTTCTCAGCAAGCGTTCGGACGACAAGGCAAGGGAGGCGCGACAAACAACAAACCAAAAGCACTCAAAGCGAGTCGAGTCGAGCCAGGTGGTAAGGAGCGAGCTTTACGACTTGGCTGTGCTGCGGTAACATCGTCGGGTTGTTTCTACACACATAGCAGGACATCTTGACTCTACGGCTGATCCGTTTTCGGCACTGAACTGCCCGTGAAGTTTTCAATAGATGGAGCAGCGCACGCGTGAGACCATTCGTCGAACCTACTAAATAGCCATACATCTTCCACCACAAGCGAGTCATGCTCAAAACATGTACCTTGAAAATGGTGGTGAATTGTGGAAGGTGCCTGTGCTTGATCTTATAACAATTTTGCTCTGTGCTGATCCACCGTGGTTGGATCAACTCCACAATCTTGTTTAGGTCGTCTGATCTGCCCGTCCGGTTGATTTCAGCTTCGATAAAAGTCGTGGGTGCGCAACTCAGACGGACATGAGACTAGTCAGCCAAGTGGGTTGATTTCAGCATATGTAAGCCCTCCGACATGTTGGGACTCGAGCAGAGACCACTGCATCGGAAATCTCGCCTTTGGCGTAGGATTGTCGGTGGCTCACAAACGCCCCCACAGACTTCCTGAACAAGTCAATACTGGTAAGCTCTCACTGTGCACTTGAAGCTCTCACCTCTCCGTAAGACTCCCGACGCTCCTCGATGCTTGGCTCGTGTAGAGGAACGCCATCCTGTGGACGCCCGTGCAAGCAGGGTTGGAGGCACGGGGTTTAGGGGGATGCAGCACACGCGGCTGGGTGCGATTGGCAACAACGATGTTGCGTTTGTCGACGGCCAGAGGTAGGTGTGGCGCATCGACTCGCTTGAGGTTTGGAGGGGAAACGGAAAATTACGATTATATTCCACGCGGGAAACGATTGTATTCGATCGACTATACTTATTCGGACTTGGAGGGTGTCAGTCGGGTGCGACCCGGTCCGCGTCTTCGTAGCCAAATCCAAAGGGGCCCGAAGCACGTACCACCTGTCCACAATCTAACAAATAAAAAAGAACAGTTTTGCACGGGAGGGGGGCGATGGGGGCACTCATGTTGGCTTCATGCTGACAGCACATCATCACATCAGGAATCCTTGGATCTCTCAGCCAGCTTCGCTGAGCAGAGTGGCTGGAGAACAGAACGTGTGCATACTTATGGGGAAGCAAACAAAGCTACGATAGCTGTTTTTACTTCCTCTGTTCCACGAGCACACTACCTGACGATACCCAGCCGACGTGCCTGTGTCCCATGACCTTCGCTGCTGAAAGTTCCATACTCGGGGGGTTTCCAGCTTTTTTTATGCACAGTTCAAAACAGGTACGGACACTATTGGGATCCCACGTGAGACGTCCCATGGGACACGTGGGCCGGCCCATGGGACACGTGGGCCGGCCCATACGGACGCGTGGGACACGTGGGACGTCCCGTGGAACACGTGCGACGTCCCATGGGACACCAAATCTAGAACGTGGGCTCGTGGGACGCCCCATGGCACCACGCTAGGGAAGTCCTACGCGGTGCTCGAAAACAGGCGTGGGACGTCCCAGCCAGTCTCCCCTACGGTGTCCCACTGCTGTCCCACAGGCGTTTATAATAATAAGCTATATTTATCAGCTAATGAAAGATAAGAGAATACGATGCATGAATAGCGAGTTTGATTGTTAACGCTAACTTTCGAACTCACTCGTGTTGTTGGAACAGGGATGTGGGCGTGCAATGGGCCATGCGTCCGATACGATGCTCGACGAGGAACATTAGACGCCCCATGGGCAAAGTGTCAACCGCTCAACCACCCTACAGCAGTAGTGACAACAGAAAATCCAAGAACGGGTCAATATTTTCAGATCGTGCGTTTCTCGTTCGCCAGCATTCCCTGTACTTTGTTTTTCAGACCACGCCAACCACAGCATCGTGTAAGTGCTTGCCGTCGGGATGATCGGAATTGCACCGTCAACGTTGGGCACAGAGCAAGCACAGGCAGCGAAAAAATGCGTCTCCTGTTCTACTTGAAAAAAGAAAAACAGGTGGGAACACATCTTGGGAAGCAGTAAACGAGCGACGAAGCAGTAATGGGATCTACGGCACTGGACGCCAACTTGGTGGTCTGGCATGGTTGTCGACCGGACGGTTTGTACATCTTTTGAAGCAGTCACAAACAGCGGGACACCAACCAAGTAGTACGTGAGGCGAACCAGCTCAAGCGTCCAACCGCAGCTGAGTATCAGTTAGATGGCAGAACGGACTACATATTGAGTACTGGACAACGCACAACTTATGACGCGCAAGTAGGAATTTATACTCTCGCCTTTCGTATCCCATTCACTATTTATGGCTGCCTTCTAGAATGAGATATATTGGACCACGCGGGGGGTTACATCTAGCTTTTCGCTTGCGCGTACACGTGCCGGCCGGTACACCAAGTGTCCGGGCACCCAAAGCTTCTTCGCACGAGGTGACCCAACTTTTGATCCTTACTTTCTGGGCAAGAAGGTCGCCTCCCATTTTGACCTCGATGTGGCCAAGGGGATCGTCAGGAATAGACGCGTTCCAGTCCCACAGCCTTATTCTCAGCACAGCGCCAGCCCTGGTCGCAGCAAGAAACAACCGAGGGAAGGCGACGCAAAGAAGTCAGGAGACAGAACGGAGCTCACGCATCCAATCCGCTCTAGTCCAAACACAGGACCAGCTCGCTGCTTTGCAAAGTGCTCTCGGTGGTGTGCTGTGCGGGACATAAGTAGCGCGGTGCACGTGTTTTACATCCGAAGGGAGTGCCGAAGGGAGTGCCTATCGCGATGGATCATGTTGACTCATAGAATTGAACGCAAGAATTGAACGAGTCGGAAAGGTTTCATAAGAGGGTATTGATCCATAAAGCACGGCATTCATTGCTGCCATGGAAAGGCAACCCCTTCGGGAGATCGGTGGTTCGAATGACAAGATAACCAGCATTTACCATGGGTTGTGTTGAGCACTGGCTCACTCTTGCGAACGTGTGTGCGTGAGAGTTTAGCGTGGAGGCTAGCAGCTTCCACGCATATTTTACTGAGGCAGACAATTCACCGAGGTTATCTCGTGGGAAAAGAGCTTGGTGGCATCGTGTGCGACCGCCCTATCGCTGAAAACGTGTGAACATCTCTCCGGTGCCGTACACGAAGGTGACATCTCGCCGAGACACGTGGCGAGCCCGTTTCACGCCACAAATTGGTCCTGCACACGTACAAGGTATTTGTCGCACAACCCTTTGGCTGCGAGTTCCGTGGCCTATGCTTTCTCTGGCTGTGGTCATGGGCATGTGTGTGTTCGCGACGGCGGGGTAATAAGCGGGGTACAAAAAAGAGCTATGTGGTCTGGAAAAAAAAAAAGCGAACGGTTTGTTGTTCGGAAAGCGTCCCCGCGAAAAAGAGCCAGTCCCGGCGATGCTATGCGTCGAGGACACGCACCAGGTGGGCCAAACGTGCACGATAATGTACTGATGAGCCCTGTGCGTTTCCCTGACTATAACGGCGGGCAAATATTCGGTGGCTACGGAGAAAGGTTAACAAAATGGCCGTAAAAACTACATTTGTACATGTGCGTAGATGACACGGTTCCCACACACCGTCGGACAGGAAGCGAGAATTCCTCGTTCCAGACCGGGTTGAGGGAGAACTTGATAACCCTCGTCTTCTCCCGTACCCGCAGGGGTTCCGACCACTCTTGCCCATGCGACAAGTATCTGACGATGTGACAACCGACACAGTAAAATGGGAGTTGAGCACAAAAGGAAAATGCCAGGGGACACACAGCAAGAGATCAAGAGAAAAAGGTGTGAGGGGGCGAGCGGCAAACATGGAGTGTTTCAGACCATTTCGAACCAACCCAGTGTATCGAAATCCTTGAGGTGACCGGGACCTTTTCCTTCCGTGGACCCTCCATCTCACCGGCGTACAACGATTCTGCCTAGCTCTATACAGAGGATTGCTCATGAGAAGGTACGGCCGTTGTCGTAAGACCATAGACCCCTGCATCCATGTGCTGCCGAGAGAGAGCGATTTGGCCTGTGTTCGCCGTCGCACAGTCTTTGTTAACGGACAATACCAGTCGGTAGTCACCACCTCCGTGTTGTTGCGCCAAACCGGACGCGCCTCAAGAAAAAGATCAGAGATCGAGAGCAGAACAAGTGTTGCACATTGAGCTGGCGCTACCGTGCCCCACATACTGCGAAGTATTTGCCCACCTAGCGTCTCAACCATCCAGTTATCGGCAGACATCTAAAAGGCGTGGCGACGCTAATTTCGAGGTCTCGAAGCTTAGGGGATACTACATGGACCCCATCGTGCCCCAACCTAGGACGAATGCATCTCCATGCAATACAATACATCCTCCTAAGAGGGAACTTGTGCGTAGCTTTGAACTGAGACGAAGCACAAAGGTAGTCCAACGTACCTGCCGGTGAGCTCGAGCTCCGCAAAGGGGTCGCTTCTCCCCGCAAAGTCTCTCGAAATGAGGCCTCTCGCTTCCACCACCTTCGCGTGCAGCGTCTGCGTGTGCGAATGTGTGGTGGGACTTTGTTATTATTGTTTTTCTACTAGACATCATTGGTCCACTTCCAGCCTGTGACACAAATCTTCCAGGGGAACTCTTGCAGACAACGCTAACCTTCCTTCACCGCCCCCAGCTACAGAATCAAAATAATCAATTACAAATAAAAACAGTTTTGGGTGTGTTTGGGGGTAACGTATGAGGTGCGGCATAATACTACTTGACGTTGTTTGCAGGATTGGGGCGACAACGGGGTCAGAACTTCATCAATTTGGTGTACGGAATACTGAACGAGAGTCAGGCAAGTGGTAGAGGGAGTTCAATATGTGGACGGGAGTATGAAACCACAAAATATTGTCTTTACAAACGTTTGTGACTGCCGTAATACGCGTGTGTCTGAGTGTGTGCTGGGGCGGACATCAGCCTGTTTCGAAATATCAAGCTTCGGACCGAAGTAACGGACCAAATTATTTCTTTTTAGTGCGAGTTAGACACGAACAGCACTGAGAACAGCGGGCCGCTTCCTCTCCCTCTATTATGTTTTGCGTGAGGACAGCAGCACACTACGTTGTTCCGTCTTCGTGAAACGGAGATCGTGAAACGAAAAAAAACAAGCAATTTGAGATCTCAGTTTCCGTCTTGGACAGGCACTAGACCAACCAGTTTGGGATGGGTGCAACGAACACATACACACATCGAGCTCGGGGCGCTGCACGACTCAGGATAGTAAGGTCAAATTGCACATTTTCTACGGAATGGGTGAGCTTCGTTTCCCCATTTTTCTGCGTAAATTTCAGTCCTTGCCAAGAACAGAAGACAACACAAGCAAGACGGAGATAAATCATGCACTATCGATGGTGAACCGGTTGAAAGAACCAACTTCGGTTCTACTGTTTCAGTGCGGTAGAGACTTCATGTTGTGGAATAGTTGATTTAGAAAGCACTTGTAACGTACGACAGGGTTAACGAACATAAAATGAAACTTTGTTGTCGAAGACCGAACAAACTGTAGTTTATTGTGCACGGAAGAATTCGGAACATCTCCCATATCTACGTGTGTATCTGGGTTCTTGTTGTGCTGCCCTGGGGGCGCGCTGGTTCGGATGTCTTGGTTCGGTTTTCTGGGGTCCCAAAAAGAGAAAGGTCTCAGGCCATTTCTTACGGTTCTTTTTTGGAGCTGTCTTTTTCGTTTTTCCTTCTCAAAAAAAGACAACTGGCCACAGAACCCCTTCTAACGGTGTCTTTTTTCAGGGAAAGAAGACCAACAACTAAAGACAACCCGTTTTGGACAGCCCATCCTGCCTTTTCTAGGGCAATTTTGGATACGTCGGGGCTGTCTTTTTCTGCGGTCTTTTTCTGCGGTCTTTTTATGGTCACAACCACATGACGCTACCTACAAACTTAATCTCTCGACGGTTGATCCCCGCAAACTCTAACGGTGTTCACACGAGCTGTGTCATGTGACTGAAGCAGAGTCAGTAGCATCAGCGGTAGCGTTGTTTTTTCATTCGGCTGGATCAAGTGGACAACCCGATGTGTGCGGCGCAAACAAGCGGCAAACGAGCCGAGAGAGTCTGGACGCAGCAGCGGGGGGTCCTTGCTGGTGTGCTGTCAACTTTGGCGAACCCAACTTTTGGGCGCCCTATAGCCTCCTGATCTGTGTCAACCACCACACAAGACGGACCATACGCGCCGCTCATGGCGGATACCTTTGTCATCGCTGGTGCTGGAGTGGGTGGCGAGGGAGCATCGATGGACCAAAGTTGCGACACGGGCGAAAGAGCAAAAAAAAATGCTTGAAGACGAGGCGGGTCATTTGTTCAAGACTCTTTGCGCTCACAATTTTTGAGCGCCCTTCAGCCTCCTGGTCTGTACCAACCACCACACAAGGCGGATCATACACACAGCTCATGGCGGATACCTTTGTCATCGCTGGTGCTGGAGTGGGTGGCGAGGGAGCATCGATAAACCAAAGTTACGACACAGGCCAAAGAGCAAAAAAAAACTGGTTGCTGGCGTGGTGGGTATTTTTCCAGCGTGCTGTTGACCCTCGCCACCTCAGTTTCCGTGCCTCCAATCGCCCTGTGGTCTCTAACAGCCACCACCCAAGACGGACCATACACACAGCTCATGGCGGATGCCTTTGTCATCGCTGTTCCTTCACTGTATGAGGAGATATCACCGAAACACCATAGCGGTGGAAGGTGTATGTATGTGTGACGAACGGCCGTTGCAGGGTCTCTTTTTTTCGGTCGATGACTCGGAATAGAAAAAAGGATGGACCAGCACCGCAAGAAGGGGGTCATCTTTGTTGTAGATCATTTTTTGGGTCGTCTCTTTTGGGGGAAAAAAGATCTACTAAAAAAGACACCGTAACAAATGGCCTCACGGAGTTCTCATTCTGCTGCCTCGCTGCTCCTGCCGCAAGAGTTTGATAGACGCTTGTCCGCTGGACGCCCTTGTACGATGCAGCCCGCTTTGGAGGGTCACGCGGCAGAGAAGGGCAGCAGCTAGCTACATCGAAATTTGGACGATAGCTAGCAAAGATGTCGTGGCATAAACGCTACATGCCGTAGGCGGCTTCCGCAGTCACACGCCCAATGGAGCGGTCCCAAGATGCATGCAAAGTGCATGTGCATCGGGTAGGGGAAAAAGGCAATGTGAGTGCTCGGTTTGGGAAACGTCATTTTTTGCTACACCGCCGCATACATAACATATTGACGTTGGTTCTGCGTACCGGCGAGAAATCCACAAAACAAAATATACTAAATAATACCCATCTTGTGTGTAGCTTGTCATGGGAGCCGTGGGCACAAGGGGTCACGTCAAGGCCATAACGCAGTCCCCCGAGGATTCAAAACAAAACCAACGCTGTGATTCGGCACACACCGTGTACTTTGGACTTTTGTACTTCCCTTGTGGAGGAGTGAGAGCATGATCGACTTCTAATCATTCCATTCCGTCTACATGGTGATACACGCAACCTGTCCAGTTTGAAATAATTTCCTTCATCCCATAAAAACTCAAGCGACAGAGCGAGCCAATGCCCTGATGATGTTGGTCGTTGATCAAGTGAACACTCTCTCACCCCGATGGTCATCTTGGCCCTTGTAGAGGGCTGGAGCAGCGGCCAAGCCGGGAACTTCCACCCGCTGATGGAACGGTAGTCCATCCACCCGTAGTTGTCGGCTTCGTCGACGATGGGGTTCACAGCGTTGCCTCGCTCGTCGCAACCGTCGTGGTTCTCACCGCCAGCGATGCAAGCATATTCGTGTTGGCCTCCCGCGTGGTTCATCGCCGTCCCGTCGTGCCCAGGTTGCACGCTTGAGAGTGATTTTGGTTGGTATCCGGGGGAAAATAAGATAAAACCATAAGTACTTTGCACAAGGGAATCCGTCTTCTGAGCGTCCGCCGGCTCTCTAGACTTGAACTACAGTCGTACCATAGACATTTCTTATCTTAATTTCAACAAACGTGTGTGGAGGTACACCACTGACGTGCTCGTGAAGACAAGCCCGAAGCGCTGCTCAGCGTGACAACCGACGTATGTTTTCGCGCGCAAGACCTTCCTTCTGGTCTGGTGTATATCGCAACATGTGATTGTGGGGTCTTTTGAAAAGTCAGGCTCCTACAATGAAGCGGTTGTCAGTCGTAGGTGGGCCCTTCTTAACACACAGGCTTTTTTTTTTGGCAGGTGCGATTAGGGTGTTTGCGATAAACAATACGGGGAGTATTTTCTTTCTATTTTGGTGTTTTGGGATAACTGTCAGTGGCAGGGCACCAACCTTAAATGTATCTTCAAAATTTGGTCAAATATGTTGATCACATTTATTTGTTAGCAATCCACTAACAGTGCAGAGCCAGCGTTGCAATCGCACTCTCCAGCGAACGGTGGTTGGTCAACATGTTCCGAGCCCGCGGCTGATCAACAAAGTCCGATATGCATTACGTGTGACGACGTGCTATTCCCTCAGAGCCAGAGGGGGCTCGCCCATACCTTTACACATACATGCAGTGAGGGCCTCCGCAGCAGCCAAAGACAGGCATCCCCACAGCCCTCATCATCGACTAGATGAGGGGTAAACAAGAGTGATAAGCGAAGTCCAAAAGCAAGCGTCGATACGGAGCGATGCCGGGAGGTGCTGGGACAAAAGCAACGGCTGATGAGGGTGTCATGTTTTTCAACGTGTTGCTGTAGCGAAGCTGTAGGGTGATGAGTGAACCGATCGTATGTACGACAAAGAAATCCGTGCGAGGAGAGGCCAAGTGGCCAACCAGACCGCGTATGTACGACAAAGAAATCCGTGCCAGGAGAGGCCAAGTGGCCAAGTGGCCAGACCGCAGGCTACCAGGCCACCGGGTGTTTGCGACTTGTCTTCGAACACACCATCACTGGTGGCCAAAGGTCACCTTGGGGGTAGGTTGTGAGCACCCCCAAGGTCGGGCAGGTTGTGGAGGGGGGTTGGGAGGCAGCCACAACCTTGGCCAGCCCTCCTGGTTGTACAAACACAGATCAAACAGGTTGGGAAGCAGCTACAACCTTAGGCGAGACCTCCTGGTGGTGAAAGCACCGAAGACACAGGTTGGGAGGCAGTGGCAACCTTTGGATCCCGCCAGACAGATGGGAAGCTAGGGTGTGTGTGTGCATCGAACCAGCGAGCCCCCTGTTCGTGGGTTTGCTTTGTGTGTTGTGTTGCGTTGTGGCCTGCACGCCCTCGTTTCCACATGACGAGCCTTGACACAGGCGACCAGAGGCCGCAGCGTGCCAAGACGAATAGCGATCAGACTGATGGCATTCCTTTCCGAACCAAGGCAAACAGCTACAATCTCTAGATGCTCGGACTTGGGGCTTGGGGCACGGCAACCGCCGCGGCTAAACCCGCCGCACTTGTTGTGCTGCTAAGAGCGGCAAGCGGCAAGACGAGCTTCTACACGGCGCGCGCGGACAAGAGAGAGCGACATGCCGGCAGCAGTTTCTGCTTAGGTAAGCTATTCCCCTACAGCTATTTTCTGGATGGTAGCAAAAGAAGGATGAATGAAGGGAAAGTTGTGTGTTGTGCATCCCTGTGTCCCCTTCGGGAGAGGCGCGAACTCAGCATTTAGTGTTGTTACATGTGCTCAGACACCAGCAGTTGGTCCTGCACACCCAACGGCTCTGTGCCTACTGCGCGCATGCAGCTCGTACTCATCATGTATCCCAAGGCGTCAATCAGTGCCCAGCCTCATTAGACATTGTTTAGGGCGGGGGATGCTGTAGGCACTTATAGTCCGTGCACAACAATGAATCCATAAATTCCCCCAGCACAAATAACAACTTTTCTCTGCACACAGGTGGTTGTTCCGAAATCTGAAAGTACCAGCAAACGCCATGTTTCCAGGCGCATGCGTGACGGAGAGTTTTTTTTTTTTTTTTCCTTGACTTTTTATCCCCGAAACACCTTTATAACTTGATTCGTTTACACAGGGTGGTGTTTATTGCCGATGCCAAAAAAATCAACGGATTTGGACACATTTCGGAATTCTGCGGTTGGGTTTTTTTTTTTTTTTGTAATTCTCGAAATTACAGGAGATATTAGAGAATAACTGAATGTAGAGGATCAACTTGACTCGTTTACAGCGCGACAACCACCCGACCGATTTCAAAATAAACAGTGGCAAACGATCCCTATCGTCGATCTACAGTTGGGGGTTTTGGGGTTTTGCTGGGAAAAATCTAGTTTTCGAGATATTCAACATGTTGTGCCGCACCATGGGTGGGTGTGCTTTGGTGGGCGACACAACACGCACAAACAACTCTCGCACACGTTGCAGCCCGAAGAACACAAAATACCCACGCAAGCACCATGGGGAATCCTAGGGGGCGGCCTAAGAAGAAGAAGATCGGCTATCGCGGAGCCGATGGCCGGGCGGCTCCTAAGAAGCCGAAGCCGGCGCAGCAACATGAGCTTCCACCCGGTGCTGGTGATGCGCTCTCCCACGACCGCGGGGCAGATTTGATGGTCGTGATGTGTGTTTTGCGTGCGCATGCCAGCGCTGTACAAATGTTTGTTCAACAGCTTTGCCGGGTTTGTTGTGCGCCTGCTGCGTGTTCCCTTTCTTTTGTGTTGGGCCTTGTTGTTTTTTCCAGCACTCCCTTGCGGTTGACTGCCTCCGAAAGTTTTGTATATATTAATTATACATAGAGTGATAGAGTGAAGTGTTGTGCATGCGAATAGACTGCATGTGTTTTCGTCCTGCATTGCGTGTATATTATTACAGTGTGCGCGATCAGTTGTGAATAAGAAGGGTATGGACGCGGGGAAATTTCACAGAGGGGGCACCGTGGCATAAAATGGGGGTGCCTTGGCGCAAAAATGGGGGCCAACGTGGTGATAGAGGGGGCTCCGCAGTGATAAATGGGGGGCACCGTGGTAATATATGGGGCTCCGCGGAGGAAAACAGGGGGTACTATGCTGATTTAGGGGGTTCCGTGGATCATTTTGGTCAAAAATGTCGCATTTTCCCAAAATGAAAAAAACTCTGCAGCTATCGACGACGTAGCTCGACGAGGCGGTCACGAATATCGTTGTTTCGCGTTTCATTTTTTTTTCTTTAAAAAGATATCGCACAAAACGTGAATGGACAAATTGTTGTGCATGGACCGTAGTTATTTCTCAACGGTTTTTTGCGGGGGTTGCGCTTGTTATTTTATTCAACGGATTTTGTGACAACGCGTATGTGGGCTGTACCTGACGTGTCCACACACATGCCTAGCATAGACCGCGTCAACCGTCCAGAGGCGTCAGCCGACGCCCAGCCCTACCACGCCCTATTTTAAGACAAACTGCTCGATTGACACGGGTTCGTTCACACGTCGCAATATTGTAAACATGTGTTCGTATTGAAAGCAAGAATTGACTACCTTAGGTTGCACAAGATACCACACCCCCGTAACCGAATTTCACACTTCTATTGTTCCACGACAAAGAAGATGATGCCAAAGTCAAACGATACATTTTCGGAAAGCTCTGGACTGGACAGTTCCAATGCCACCGTTTCCGGCACCGCCACCTCTTCTGCTGGGGAGTAAACGGGCTTTGGAAATTGGTCCAGGGGGCGTGATATCTTAAGCAACCAACTGCTGTGAGACAGCAGTGGATTCGATTCTCCTCTGCGCCACCGTTTTCTTCCCACCACCCTTTTCTTTTTCTTTTCCTCCGGAAATTGATGTGCACTTCGGAATTTAAATATACGTTTGTTGGCCGTAAACAACAAGTAAGGCAGTTTCTCATGAGAACCACTTGCTACCCCTATTTTCAAAACACTTGCTGCCCCATACCATCTCATGATCGGTCGGGTTTTTTTTCGGGGATCTCTGTGCACTGGGTGACACAACAGCAATAGCAAAGCATGCGCCCATGGCTGTACGTATTTATGGTGCCTCATGTGGGGTGGTTGTTGCAGACCGTGAGGCGCTGGGAGGCTGAGAATTGAAGTTGGTGAGAGGGCCAACTGATGTTCGAAGAAGACACCCCGCTCGAACACACTCCGAACACACAGCTCGAACACAGCTATTGACAGTTATTTGCAACGTCACAGGTTTGGTTTCGTAGCGACCCCTCTTCACTGACCGAACCCACAGATACCACAATGCCACCCGCCCGTAGCTGCGTGTATGGTGTTTCTTGTGCTGGTGTTTTCACAGGCCGTGACGGGCTGGAGGGCTGAGCAACGAAGTTGGCGAGGGTCGACTGCTGTTCGAAAAATGACATGCCGCTCACGCTGTACATATTTCTTGCCGTGTCACCGGTGGCGTTGTAGTTATCCCTCCACCGAACAAGTCAACAGAAACGACACAGTCCCTCCGATAGAGAGCGGTCTGGTGCTCACATCCTCGCAACTTTCAGCAGGAGGGTGATCTAGCGAGCTAGAAATTGAAGACTTTGTCCATCAATGTGTGTGTTGGGATGATGCTGCGTCTGTTTGCGGGTCTGTTCTTTGCGAGTCTGAACAAGCGGTGTCTGCGTCAGTTGGCCAAATTTTCGCTTTGAGCGCACCTCGCCACACGGCAACCAAATATCAACGGCTGAGATGGCAGCACAGTGCTCCGAGGGTTGCTAAGACGAACTTGCTGCGCAATCGATACTTTTTTCCGTGTGGTGTGCATTTCCACACGCAATAAACAAACGCGCCATCGGGTCGAAAATTTCACCATTTCCGAACGCATGGCCGCTTGAAACGAAGTCGAAAATCTTCAGCCGGAATGAATGTGTAATTTCTGATCCTACAGCAGAGTATAAGAAACGTTTTATTATCCGATTTCATAAATTACACTTTTTTCCCGAGAACAACGATAAACTACGAACAGCCTAAACCCCTGAAAACAAGGCGTGTCAGAGATCGGAACGTTTGTATTTTTATCTCAAGACAACAACAACAACATGAGGAAAGGCGGTCACAGTGGGTGCCCCCACTTGTGGCGAAGGGGCCAACAGCAAAAAGCAAATGGTACAGACATTAACACATTCATTCCCTTTGACTATTGCGTTTTCCTGAACGGGTAGTCTTTCAGTGATTGTATGCATACTGGTATGCAGCTTTCTAGGAAATGGCGAACCGGACATCAGTATAGATGAAATTATGTTCCGGTACGTACAGCACTTCATTTCAAATTCTCGACCGAACGAAGCCGCGCCACAGATGAGAAATGGAGAGGGCACCAGTAGTGTGCATAGCAGAGCAGAGGGGTATGCATGTGCGCCGTTCACATGTTGCGTCTCACGCACTTTTTGTCCCCCCCCCCCCCCCCCGGTGTTTGCCATCGGGGTTGGGTTTTCGTCGCTTGGCAACGACGTTGTAAAACAAGCCGCCGCCCCCGGTGTTTGCCATCGGGGTTTGGGTTTTCGTCGCTTGGCAACGACGTTGTAAAACAAGCCCCCCACTCGGTGTTTGCCATCGGGATTGGGTTTTCGTCGCTTGGCAACGACGTTGTAAAACAAGCCAATTCACCTCGTGAACTCGGCTACCAGGTTACCGTTGTTTTTTTTTACCTCTGGTTCTTTTTTTGGCGGTAATCATAATGGTGGTCGAGTACATCATGTTGTGCGGGGTCGAGAAACCTCACTCCGCGCAACGGGGGATGATCGCACCACGTTGTGTTAAAATGGTCAAGCTTCCTCGAGGCAGTTACACAGTGCTTACAACTGTCTCTGGAAGTGAAAGCACCAGAAAATAAATTAAGTCATACGTAGCTGTCATCCGTACGCAAGGAAGTAAGCACAAGATGCCGAACACCCTTAGCAGGATGCAGCTCACCCTTCATGCGACTCGCCAAATACCTCACGGCGCTTCGCGCTTGGTGATGTGAGAGCCTGGTCCGGTGAGAACCCGGCGTGCTCCGTCCCGGCTTTGTAGGGATGCGAGGTCAATGGTCAAACGACTACGGCATGCACGACTATGAGTACACCCCCCCCCCCCCCCTGTATCGTGGTAGGTGGAGATGGCCATGAGCGGGCTCGGTACCGTCATGTTCTCGAAGGTTCTAGGGCCAGCCAAGCACGGCATTTCCCGGGTCGGAGGGCGAGACCATGCAGAGCGTGAGCTTCGACCAGGTCGACTGATGCAAGCGCACCGCCACATATTTCAGGTACGGTCGGGTTATTAAGTGAACTCCCTGCGGTAAATGTGAGATATATTTCAGAAGTGGTGCCCTGTGATTTGAAAAACAAAGTGTATGATGGTAAGTCATGTCGCAACCCCCTACATCTCTGTCCACCGGGAACAGATAGAGGTCTGCTACTGCACCTGCTGTCAGAGCCGTGCATAACATCGCCGATCACTCCGGCCTAGGTCCACTCACGTTTCAGTACATCCGCTCCTATTTGAATGTGAACGGAAGGAACGACAACTTTATTCTTTCGAAAGCTGTTCATTCGTTCATTCATGAGCTAACCGAAGCTTATGCATAAAGAGAAGGAACGGGGGGATGTGCAGGCAACAATCCTCGCGATTCGTTGCTTGTGGAAGGGGTAGAGACTTTTTGACGCACACGCACCACTACTTCTGTTGGTTTGAGGGGCTTGCATGCTGTAGCGTTAGCCTGTCGTGCAGGACAGAGGTGCAGCCCACGGTGAGCGATAGTGTGCATTTACCCAAAATGTCATGGTGCCACGCAACACGACCGGGGACAATGAGTGTTTGTCCTTACAATCTTAAGGCCGCTTCCGTGTTCATCATACTTGAATTTCGGAATCGCCACGTACGTTTTGAGAACGAGGATAACTGCTGGAGTCCATCTTCGCCCTGCTGCCTGCTGTTTTCAGCGGTAATTCCACACTATCTACTGTCAAACTTGCTCTGGTGCATCCATCAATCCAGCCCCCGCTAAGCACCACCTCGCCCCCCTCACGTCATGGATTGATCTCTTTCGAGCATACTCGAGTAGTGCATCCTCGCGGATGTCATCAAGACGAGGATGGGCACTCCAGGGCACACTTCGCCAACAAGAGGGACCCGACCATGACGGTATACCGTACCTTCCCGGTGTGCCACCCTTTATTCGAAAAGGCGTCGCTGGGAAGTATGGCGGCGGCGACCAAACGTTGGACGTCATCCGCGACATGTACGTTGCCTTGTGTCGATATGTGATCTACTGTCAGCTCTATAAGGCTGGCCCTTCGTTGTATTTAGCTTATTCGCTAACCCTGTCTCCCGTGGCATACTGTCGACCGTTTGTCAGGCTGACAAGCGCTCATTGGACGTGCAAGGTATCTGAAAGTCCAACATTCTCAATTGTTTTGTTCCTGGCGCGTTTCCAGCCTTTTTATTGATTTTACCGCCGTTTCAGTGCGCCCTGGCGTTGCTTCGAGTCGACACGAAGGTGGTTTAGCGCAAGCTATTAACCAGATGAACCCCGTGGCGTCAGACAAACTGACATTCAAATGGAACGCTCTTTGTTCTTTGTTTCGTGTCTCAGGTTCTAGGAGAGCTTCATGCAGGTCGGCTTAGAATATGCAAGGGCGATCCCCCCCGCCGAGAGTATTGATCAGCACGACGACGCTAAGCGCTACCTCAAGCCGTGCTTATTCGCGGACGAGGGCCTGGAGGTGGCGAAGGTGACCCCGGGGTGGATAAAGATGGGGGCGGAGGGGAAGCTAAAGATGGAGACGGGGATGGAGACGGGGATGGTTCTTCATCTCCGAGCCAGATAAGCGATGGTCCTGACGACGACGCTGGCCCCAAAGCCTCGGCGGACGCCTAAACCGTGTTGAAAAGGTGTGTTGTGTGTCTTCCAATAATCGTGCCTCTCTTCCTCGTTCTCTGGTTGAAATGGTGTTGGATGCTTGCGTGTTTCTTGTCGTGCACTCGTTATGCCCGCGGCTCCCTTCGATATACTCTTCCCCATCCCAGCGTGTCCGTTAGCCATTCCTGATGTTTGAATTTAGGGGAATTGACAAAATGGGGTACATGTAGACCCCGCGTGTTTAGGCACAAAATGGGGTATCCTTTTATTCGGTGTGGGGCGCAACGCGTGACGCCGGGTGGCCACCTTTAAACTGCCTTCTAGCGCTTCAGCCCCATGCGCCAGGTCCTTAGGAAGGATTCCCATTTTTTTTTTTTCAACGACAGGAACATGGTTAACTAGGGCCTGGAAGAGGGGAGCTTGTTGGAGGACCCCATTTTGTTCACGAAACCGCAGGGTGCACCCCCCTGTCTGCTAAAAGTTTATCTAGTACCCCATTCTGTTCACAAACATATGCCATAGTGTTCAAGGCATACCCCTTTTTGTTCAGTGGTGACACTCCTGCGGACTGCCAAAATGTCAACCAACAACCAACAGCGTACCACCATACACATAGGTGTGGTTGGGGTATGGTGGCCTGCGGTGCAACACGCAGGCTTTGTTGTCGTCTGCGGAGCGGCGAGAAGACAGAAAATACAGAGATATGGTGCGGTCTGCGGTTGGTTGTTGGTTGCCCTTCTGGCAGTCCGCGGGAGGGTCACCACCGAACAAAAAGGGGTATGCCTTGAACATTATGGGATATGCTTTATGAACAGAATGGGGTACTAGATAAACGTTTAGCAGACAGGGGGGTGTACCCCGCGGTTTCGTGAACAAAATGGGGTCCTCCAACAAGCTCCCCTCTTCCAGGCCCTAGTTAACCCTGTTCCTGTCGGTGAAAAAAAACGAAAAGGTGGGCGTCCTTCCTGAGGACGTGGTGCATGGGGCTGAAGCATTAGAAGGCGGCTACCGGGCGCCAGGCGTTGCGCCCCACACCGAGAAAATTGATCCCCCATTTTGTGCCTGAACACGCGGGGTATGCCCCATTTTGTCAAT